GGTAGAATATCCCTTAACTCGCTGCTGTTGTGCAAAGTAGTATTGCCTTATTGTTATTTCTTTTTTAAGTTATAGTGAACAGGTATTTTAAAATGGTAGTGATCGAGCGCATCAAACATATAGGTAGCCTTAATACAATCTACTGAATACAGCCTTCAATGCTGCTCTCTAAAAGAAAGAAAGCCCTTTAAAAATTAAAACCTTTCCACTTGAGGCTTTTAAGAACAGGATTGCATGTATGAAAATAACAAATGGATGTGTTACATCTATGAATCCTATTTAAAAGCTGTTCTTCTAAGACATAGTGCTGCATAGGTCAGTTTTAAAGGATCAATTATTTGTAGTACCTGTAAAAAGAATGAAGGGTTTTTATGTATGAATCGCTTGCCTGCAACAACCTATTGTATGCTTGTGCTCCTAAAAGCTTGTTTGATGGGAAACTTCTGCAAGTAGTATTCATGTTTCCACTTTCTGAGCTCTTTCCATTGATCTTTTTATCTGGGTGTTTTCTAGCTTCAGGGAATGTTGTACACAAAAGCAAGTAGTTAAGTCTATGCACAAATGGACACTGATGTGAACCACTTCAGGGTGGTGTTTCATGGAACGTCTTTGTAAGCAGGTGTGGCCATGACCGTAGAAATTGTCTTCTTAATAATTGGATTATGTATGATTAAAGTATTCGGAGGTTGTGCTGAAATTTTACTGAGCAGTAGCTAAGATTGGTGCTTGCCTTAATATAAATTCATGGCTTTTTTATTACTAACTAGCCTGCTACCCATGCTTCGCTACGGTATTTAAGTTCTGTAAATCCAGTTATAATACTGATGATGTGAAATTTGAAATGTGACATTTGTTGTAGGAATTCTAACAGAGATTGTAGTGTAAGAAATGAAGTGAGACATATGTACTTTTTTCTCTCTACTGAAGGACCTCTCTCTAGATGACATTGGTGGTTCTGCCCTCAGGTGCTAGGATCACCAGGCTGCTTGATGAGCTCACTCTGGAGCAGGCCACATAGAACAGTCCAACTCCTGCCACCTTCTATGAAAGTGATGGTCTCTCTACTTGTGTTCCTGGATTGTTTTGCTCATATGGAGACTGTGTTGTTTTAAGCACCTCAGGGTGACCTTGCTGGTGCTTGGCCTGTGCAGCTCAGTGCACTGCAAGAGTACTATGTGCAAATGTCTTTGCCGCATTCCTAAGTTGCCTCCTCCTTGTAGTGTTGGTGTATCTGGCTCGATGTTTGCCAGGAGCTTTCTTGGGGGCAGTAAGAGGTGAGAGGTATGAGGGGGAGTTGGTGTGAGGGAGTGGTGATGTGGTGGACATTTCTTCAGGTTCATGAGGGAGGCACACATCGAAATGGCTCCTAGAAATGTCCTTTACTATCTCCCCATACACCTTCATACCCCAGCCCTGCTCCTAGACCTGACAGACACCAGCCTGTCTGGTGTTGGGGGGGGATTGTATTTAAAGGCATAGGGAAGGCTGGGGCAGCAGCAGTGCTAAGGCAATCCTGCTGAGCAAACCTCCCCGACAGCTGTAAGCATCCCACCTCCTCTCCTACACCTGACAGGCAGCTGCCTGTCCAGTGTAGGAGGGGGAGGGGGGAGGAGTATTATTAGGCACCGTGGAGGCAGGGCTGGCAGGATCACTAAGGCGTTACTGCTGGGGCAGGCTCCCTTGTGCCTTTAAGCACCCTGCAACCACTGCTGCACCTGACAGACAACCGCCTGTTAGGTGTAGGAGGTGGGGGGAGTGTGTTGGAAGCCAGGGGTCTTTTGAGGCCGGAGCGCGCCAGAGTGCTACTCCAGGAGCCCAGGAGCTGGCAAAGTGGCGGTGGCAGCAAGCCCCCCCCATCTCTTTGCCCTCTTTCTTTCCCTCCTTTCCTTCCCCTTCATTTTCTTTTCCTCCTTTTTCTCTCTCTTT